GTCCATGATGTTGAGAGGCTTCATATTCTGCAGAATTCAACCTTTATAGTCCTAGCATTATTGACAATTCACGGTTGGGGTCTGTAGATTTAGGAAACCTGCAGCCAGATCTGACGCTAGGGGGGTCTGGGGCAAATCCAGTGCTGTAGCACTGCCCTGCGTGCCCTGGGTGGCACACGATCTTCAGCACGGAGCGGGGGTGTGGAGAGGGGTAGTGAGCAGCCAGATGTGAAGCCAGCGGTGCAGGGAAGTAGTGGCACAGAGCGGGGCAAGGAGGGGCTGAGGCTGCTGCACCTGGCTCTGTGGGCCCCCCAAAGCATGGGGCCCGCGGAGGTCATCCCAAATTGCCTCCCCAAGAGATGACTCTGCCTGCAGATGGATGTGTCCCATCACGCCTGAAAAATTTCTAGTGACAAACTCTTCTATGTTCCTGTTCTTTGGACACTGAAGAGTCCCCCACATAACCATGCTGAGTGATTCTACCAACCCTGTGGCTCTGTGTTGGGTATTTAAATAGCCATTTCTGATTTGTTGGATTTGCTCCTGCCCCTTTTGAAATCAGAGTTCTGCCATGGGACTGGGATTTTACATAGAGTCATGTAGTGCTAGATGGAGCATTTTGAGCTAGGTCTTGAGAAAGGAAGGCTATATAGCTGCTTGACCCCAGGGTGAGACCCAGGTAGGAATTGTGATGCATGTTCATAGCTCTCCTCCCTTGCTCCACACTTAACTTTGGGAACTGGAGTACTCCAACCTTCAATAAAGGCAGCTAACTCCCCACTCTGGCATGCAACTAGGGAACGAGGCTCTCTCCTGCATCCATCAGGTGGGTGTATATGGGCAGCAGGTCCGTTGTAGGCCAAGTGAGGGTGTGGGAACCCTTACTTCCTACTGCTCCCCAACTTGGCCAAACAAGCAAATAGCACCTTCTAGCCCATCATTATTGCTTGAAGTTAAGTGGCCTTCACCATCCTGCATTGCACCAATCACTATTGCATGAGGCATCCCGTTGGGCTTTGAGAGTTCCCTTGACTTGTTTTCCCATTAGATGGACATCTCCAGGTTCGCAGAGACTTCTTCTCGCTTTCTTCCTGACAGAGTCAGGCTGCTCTCACAACTGGCTGCAGAATGGCTGGGAGAAAGGAAATGCAGGAGGCAGGGAGAGAGCAAGTTACCTGTTACACCCCCCTACATTTGCCTCATTCAGTTTGAGATTCGTTGTCCCACTGAATAGCAAAGACATCCCAGAAGAAAGGAAAGGGAAGCAGGGGCAGGGCTGGTGGTTGACAAATAAAAACAATGAGACTAGACTGGAGGTGGCAAGAAGGCAACAGGAGATGACATGTTTGGAGGGGTACCTAGCAGGAAGCAAGATGGATTAGAGCAGTTATAAGGAGAAGAAACGGGTCAGTGGGACACAGAATCTCAACCCGAGTGAGGCAAGGGTATGGGGGTGTAACAGGTTAGGCAACTTAGGATCATTGTGATGTCCCCGAAAGGCCACCTCATCCTTGCCAGGCTCTTCCTCTTCCCCGTCTCTCGAGGTCTCACCGTGCGTTCTTGCCTGCTATGTCTTGATAGAAACTGAATGAAAGGGAAGCTGCCCTCAAAGACTGATGAGTCTAAGGTGCTCTCTTCTCTAGTGGTGACCTCTCCCAATCCTGCTTGCCTTATGGGCTTAAGCCATGACCTCCAGCCACCCCCCAGACACACCCATGCTACACATCATCCACCAATGAGCCTTCAGCCCCCTGCACCATTCAGTCTGTTCATAGCTCCTTGCCTTTTCCCAGTTGTTGTGTCTTTAAGTCTCTATTTTACTGGACTTTGGGACTCAGGCCATATTTCTCATTGCCCCCTTTTCCTTCATTGGACCCTCATCTTCTTTTCTCCCACCCCTGCCCAGGTGATGAGCCTTCTTCAGGCTCTTCCTCGCTCCTGGAGTCTTCTCTGACTCTCTTCCTCTGAGCCTTCCCTGACTCTTTTCTCTCTCAGAGCATACCCCAACTCTTCCTTTTTTCTACTGAGCCTCCCCTGGGACATCTACTCATCCTGAGCTTTCCCTGGCTGCTCCTCTCTTTCTTTTCCCTAGCTGTGCTTGCCTCTGGCTCTACCAGCACCTCCAAACCACCTCTTTGCTAGTCCCCCCTGATCCTCTGGGGCAAAACCCAAACACAAACGTAAGCCTTTTGGCCACAGCACAAATGCCCAATGCATTGACTGCCTACCACACGTCTTCAGAGCCCTCTGGTTGCAGTCCCTCGTTGCATTCCCCAGGATCCCTACCAGGAGGTCATCAGTAGCAGCCTTCTCACAGAAAGTCTTCCTCATCCTGCAGCCTCCCAGGTCTAACCCCCTGTTCTGGTTTATATACTACTAAAGCCTGCCCCTTTCCAGTCATGGACCTCCTCTGGCAGCCGCCTTGACCTCAGGGTTTTTCCTTAACCCCTGCTTTGCTGGTTGCCTGTGTCTGTGCTACAAAAACTCTTCCCTTAAATGGGCCACACCACTTTCCAGTAACAGGGCAAGGGTTCCCCGTTATGCAGGGATGTGCAAGGCAAGGTGTATGGAGCTAGCCGCTATGTGGTTTTCAGGCTAAGTAACCAGGGAGTGGAGAGCTTAGAATGAGACTATAGATATGGCTATACTGCATAGCGTAATGCAGTGTTGGAAACATCCAAGCTAGCTCAGATACCAGAAGCAGCTAAGTCACAGGAACTCAGTACTGGTTGATTTACCTTGCTGAAAATATTAAAAAAGCTTGCCTGGAGCTCTATGCTCCTGTGGCTATTCTCTGCTTCTGGTACCCGAGCTATCTGGGATTGCTCTCCACTGCGCCGCAGTATACAGTATGGAGGGAGCCTCCAAGACTGATGCATTTGATGGAGAGGACGCAGTGATTAATGCAGAAGCAGCGTCGGGGGAGAAAACCTGGGAGAAACAGCATGAAGAGAGCAGAAGCCAGGTTTTCCAGTTTAGGCAGCAGCCTGGGACTCTCGGATACGGGGTCAATCCTGAGTTCTGTCACACATTCATTAATGTGCCATAGTTACTGCACATTAAGTTTAGTACTTGAATAACCAAGTACTAAATCAATGTGCAGTGACGGCTGCCACTATGCAGTAGTGCCGGCACACAGGCTTTTGCAGATGCTAACTGCTCAGTAGCCTAATGCTACTGCATGGTAGCATTTTAGCACAGTTTTTGTCTGGCATGCTACTGCACAGTGTTATTAAGCTACTGAACAGTTATTAGGCTACTGAGCACAGTGTTATTAGGCAGCTGTCTCGTGTAGATGCACCCTACGTCTCCTTTATGAACTGGGGATCATGAAGCCCTAACTTTATGAACTGGGGATAATAGGTCCACCCTCTCCCCATCTTGTCTATGCAGACTGTGCCCCCTTCTGGACAGGGACTTTTATTACATTTTCCTGAGTCATCTTCTAGAGTTGTGGGGTGCTGGTTCAACTGGGGTGACTAATACAAAGTAAATAAGATGTATATTTCCAGGGTGACATATTTAACTCCAAAATATGCATTTTTAGTTTTAAAAAAGCTGAAAAAATCAGGGCTGTTCTTTTGATGATACTGTGTGTTCATTGCTGCAGGCCTTGTTTCGATTAGCCTCAGAAATGCTACCTTGAAATCCCCGAGACAAGGGTTTTGAGGGGTAAGGCAGAAACAGTAATTGTTTTGCCCTTTAAAAAATAATTTATTCACAGTTAATGAGAACAGGTTTGCTGCTTCTTTGCATAAAAGTCCATGGGAACAACCGATCGGAAGTGTAAAAGGCTACCTGTATTAAAGGGATGGGATTTCAAGTGATTTTGAGCTACACTGTCAAGACTCAGTTGCCTGAAGGCATCTATCTGAGCTTCTCAGGAGATGGCATAATTAGCACCTGTGTGTTGGAGCTTGATAAGTAGTGAATCTTCTGGGTACCATTATGGACCAAGGGAGAGGCACCTAATTTCCAGTTTACACTAGAAGACTTCCTGTCCTGAATCGTACCATAGTGTTCCTGCTAATGCTACCTGCTAATACATAGCTGCACCACCCAGATTCATAGGTGTTGCAGTTCAACAGTAGGTTATTCCTCCTTACAGCATGGTTCAGGTAGGCATATAACTGGCACCTAGGTGTTTAAGAGCCTGAGTATAACCCCGTTCTGCTCTGCCTGTAAAGGACTTACCATGTCTTCCTTTGTCACATGCCTCCATCTTTGCTGTAAGATTAGATCACAAAAAAAGCAGCAGAGACTCACATACTGGTGCATGAAGGACTGAAGGTACCTTTCTTACCACTGTTCAAAAGGGTCTTGTGTAGGATCGCACTTAGATGCTTACATGCCTAAGTACCACCTACACCCATGGTAGGTAGGACAGGATCTAGCCCTGGGTGTGGAAGCAGTGCACAGTATACTGGCCATGTGTCTCAGAGAGATAATTGGAATAAAGCCCTGGTTCCAATGAAATCTACTCAGTGAGCCCTGTTGCAAATGGTCCTAATTCTTGCAATGGGATCGAATATTTTAGGTCTGGATCTGAGTTCTGCAGCTTCAGCCCATCTAGGTACAAAGAGACCCCCCAAGGTCTGATGTAGGCAACAATATGAGCATGGGCTTCCACCCTTTGGGACCTGCTCGTCAGCTGCTCAGGACACTGCTTGAATCTGTGATCTCCATGCTGATGGATGCCCTGCAAGCAGCCAGCCCAAAGATCCCAGCACGCCAACCACTAGGCATGGCCAATCCCTCCTGGACCACATATGGAGAGGGAGAGGATACTATTTCCAAAGCTCCTGCCTGTGTGAGGCAGAGCAGAGAAGGTCCCAGAATCCCAAAAGCCAGGAGGATACATTTCAGTAGTTATATGGGAAATAGCCCCTCCAGACAGGAGGCTCAGAGACCCTCCCTTTGGCAGAAGAAAGCCCTCTCCCAGAAATTTGGCTGGGGGCAGAACCCATCTCCCCAGCAGCTTTTGGGGCTCCTGAACATACCGCTTCGCCAATAGGATTTAGGAGCGAGTCCTGCCTGCTGAAGATGGCCCGTGCTGTCCTGAGAAAAATCGGTTGGTCTCTGCAAGGAAAACAAGGATGTGATGATTAAAAGCATTAATGGGGACAGGGAGCATTTTGCTAATGAGCTTCGCCACAATGTATTTATTATTAAACCCGATCGGACGGGACTATCCTTTCCCTGGAGGCTGCTACCGAGTTGCTGCATCTGACTGCTGCCTGCCGGATGGATGGATGGATGCTGGAGATTAGTTCTAAGCCCTTCCCCCTCCACTCCCCTCCTCTTTCAGGACTTCACTGACAGTCCCCAAGGGAAGCAGAAGAGAGGCAGAGGGCAGCCTCCACCAGCTCTCTCCATTCAGTTCACCATGACGCCCCAGGAGCCCAGGACAGGAGCTGCCTCCTGAGCCTCTGATAGCAAGGGAAGGTCCCTGTTTTGCAAAGGATACACAGGACCACTCTGCCTCTCTTGGAGAGGGAAGGAAAGAAAGAGAGAGAGAGAGAGGAGCCTGAGGTTTGCAGAGTGCACTACTAATTTTTCATGTGATCAATACAGTAAATATCCCCAGGTGTCTGCTGGCTAGTAACTCAGAGGAGAGTCGATCAGTTTGCAGCATGCATTCTCCACTGACGGGGAAGCCAGGCGCCTGGGAGCAGCCAGCATCAAGGTGGTGAGTAACTTTGGGGAAGTTGCTTTGGGATTTTTGTGATGGAGAGGAGCCACGAAGCATCAGCACAGTTGATGGGCAAAGAGAAGGATCTGTTCTTTACCAAAGACATCTGCTGATCAGGCCACTGCCTGGGAGAAGATGTGGTTCTCTGGGTCGCTTTGGCCTCCAATGTCCTCTCAGTAATGTGCAGCGGTATCTGGGTGGGTTAATAAGAACACACAATTTTTTTAGCACTTGACTTGGTTACTCCTTGCAGCACCCTGAAGAAGTATTGTCAGGAAAGAGGGTAGAGAGGAAGGAGGCATTTCACTTTGAGAGCTTCGAAGTTAAAGCAATTCAGAACTGAGCATCCAGCTGCCGACTGATAACTGGCCCCCAAAACTTTAATAAGGATTACACAGCTTTTTGTAGCTGATGTGTATTTCAGAGAAGCCACAGAGGCAAGCAGCCTGCAAATGCTAGCAAATTCAAAAGGTAGGCTAATGACCAAGGTGTGCTCTAAAACCAATAGCCTGCTCTGCTCACACCCCATCTTTCAGTCAGCCATCGCTGAGCAATAATTATGAATGAGGCTTGTGTTTTTTTCTCTGTGTGTGTGCGTGCGTGTCTGTGTGTAAGTGTGTGTTGCCAGACAACCAATGAGACTGGAAAGCAAACTGCATTCACAGGCTGCAGATTTCAGGAAGAGGCACAGAGATGACTTTTCCACGCACACACACTTTGTGTTGTAGGGAAGTCATCTGTGATGCCTTTTCTACCATTATAACCTTTACTATTTTTTCTTCCTTCCTCCTCCGTCTTTCGGGTGACAGCTAACCCCAGTCTGATGCCATTCGGGACGTCCCAGTGAGAACTCTCAGAGATGCCTATTCTCTCGGGAGGCAGCGATCAAGACTACAGCAACATTAGCTACACTTCTTGTAGTTCCCTGAACCGTTTCTTTCCTGTCTCTGTTGAGACCCCGTCTGTCAAAGGGGTCCATTACCAAAGAGCCAGGAGGATTTACCACTCGGATCAGCTCTGTAAAGTCGATCTGAAGAGGGAAATCGTGATCAATGTTGGAGGCATCAAGTACCTGTTCCCTTGGAGCACGTTGGATGAATTCCCACTGACCCGGCTGAGCAAGCTAAAGTTTTGCAGCAGTTACGAGGAAATTATTCAGCTCTGCGACGATTATGATGAAGACACCCAAGAGTTCTTCTTCGATAGGAACCCCAGCGCTTTCGGGATGATTGTCAGCTTCCTGGCAGCGGGGAAGCTGATGCTCTTGCGAGACATGTGTGCTTTGTCATTCCAGGAGGAGCTGAGGTACTGGGGGATTGAAGAGTCCAACCTGGAGAACTGCTGCTTCCGAAAGCTGTTTCAGAAACTGCAGGAGCTGGCAGAGATGCGCAAGGAGGACATGCAAACGAGCCAGGATACCGCATGTGTCTTGGATGAGAAGACCAAATGCGAAGAGTTCATGAACAGACTCAGGGACATGGTAGAAAACCCTCAATCCGGACTCCCAGGCAAAGTCTTTGCTTGTCTCTCCATTCTCTTCGTGGCCACCACAGCCATAAGCCTTTGTGTTAGCACAATGCCGGACTTAAGAGCTGAGGAAGACAGGGTAAGCCGGTCTTTTTTTTTGTCTTTTTTTTTTTTTTAACTAGGATTACAGCCTTGCTCTAGCGTTACGAGAAGCAAACCTGTCATTGTTAGACATGCATGGCAAGAAAGATATGGCATCCTCACCGAGGATCCTCAGGGAAAAGGTATCTAATGCTGTCTGTTTTACAGAATGGAAGCAATTACTTAAACTGACTTTTATCTCTTTCAAAGCTAGTCAAGCACAAATAATTGAAACTAAGTTTGCTATTGATTACTAGCCAGGGACACAGAAAAGTCTCTGAAAATGAAATACATGGGGATGCATTACCTTACAGCATTTCTTTTCCCCGCTTAGTAAAGAAGGGTGAGCAAGAGTTATTGTGTTTGGTGCTAGCACTGAGGATCGCACACTCGGTCACAGCAGTTTCATCCTCAGCTGTCTGTAACCAAAGAGCCCTCTGGTTATCAGTAATTCTTTGAATGACTGTGTCAGCAAAAGAAGTTATTTTTCCTGCCAACTTCCTTTGCTAAAAAGATCACATTGTATTCTGGTTTGATAACTAGATGGACTCTAGTGTGGTTTGAATTTAGGAGACTGAAATAGTCCTTAAAGTCATTTTTACAGAACAAAAGAAAGGGGGAGGTTACTGCAATTTTTGCATAAAGATATTAAAATAAAGCGATAACTGCAATCTATTGTGATGGAAGCAGAACTGCAAAGCTTGCCTCCAAAAGCAAGTGCACAAGTTTTGCGCCCTGTATTTGTATGCACAGAAAATTCGCAGGGGCATTGCTGAAGGGGGGGGCTGAAAATTTAACTCCCTAAACACAGACAAGCCTTCTCCACACAGATCTCCTGCTAGAAACTCAGGGCAAATAAATGAAACTTATATCACACACAGGATCTTTCCTTAAAACACTATTCCCTGGGATCCGGCTACTTCCAGTATTTTTAAATATCTGTCATTCTAATAAGAAAAAGGGAGTTAGTACTTTAATGAAGTTTTAGGTATAATACCATCCAAAATGACCAAATGAACACTGGATCCTTCCCTAACCTGCACTCTATAGCTCTTTCTTTTAAATAACTATACACCTTTGAAAATACTGAAAAGGCTACACAGTTAAACCAACCCTAATCATTTTGCTCATTAGATGATAAGATTCTCATCACTTTACTCTCAATTGCCTAAGGAGACCATTTGCACATTTACTGCCCGATGTGATGCGTGCAACACTGAAATTTCTGTGTGCTTTATTGCCCGAGTAGTAATTCAGAGAGGCGCAGAACACGATCCCACTGAAGATATGCCATAACATTTGATGTCTTTCAATAAAATGAAGGATTGCACAAGAGGCTGGAATTTAAAGCCAGCATTCCCCATTCGGTTTAGCCTCCTGGATTTCTATTTGCATAAAAAGATTGTAGCCCTTGAATGATATGCTGGGATCTCTAGTAGCTAACCCACAAGATAATCTGTTTTCAAGTAAAAACTGTTAAGATACTTCACTGCTTCTAAGGAGGAGTTATAAATACAGAGCATCCGTCTTATAGTTATAAGCAAAAAGAGTATGAAAAGTTCTCTAGGAAATACTGCTCCCTTCTAAGTTTGTTTCTAAAACTGCCTTGCTGTATTTCATCTAAAGCTCAAGACATTAAGAGAACTATTTTCTAATGGATTTTATAAGGAAAGATTAAACACACAGTGGGGCTAGTACATCTCAGCTAGATCTGATTAATGCTCGCTCTCTCTTTTTTTAACATTAAATCCCTCTCCAAAAGGCGCACACTTTGAGCACAGGGTTATAGCTGCAACTGGCTTTGCAGCAATTGTATTGCCATCAAAATGTTCTATCCCATAGAACGGTATTGAAGAGTATGGAGATTTTGTGAATCAATAGAGATTTTTATTTGTAAAATTACTTGAAGCTAGTTAAAAGTTTAACCAAGGATGATGATGTGAAATGCTGCAGCAGTTCAGAGGCAATCTGCTGAGGGTATGTGCTGGGGGGCGGGGGACTGGAAAGAAACTGGGCAAAGGATAAAATTAGTCTTGATATCAGGAAATGTTACGTAATACAAAAGTCTCTAATCCGATGGAACAGCTTTCCAGATGCAAAACTAAGTGGCAAAAATCCTATTGTTCAAGTCATTTCACACCAGGCTTAGCAGAGCACAAGAGAGTTTGCTTTCAGGAGTGTGGCTTGCAGAGGGGTAGACCACATGAACTAGGAAGCATTTCCCAGATGTGAATGCTAAGCCTGTCGATGTGTCTGATTAAAATTGGGAGCCACCAAACCTAAATTCCCCTTTCCAGGAACCTAAGAGTGGTATTGCAGCTAGAGCAAGGCAAGTAACTCCTAGTACGGATTTCAGTTTAAAAAAAGGCTGCAGCCTACAACTTGTAAACTCCCTCATTCTTCTATTCATCATTCTTCCCCCAACTGTCTCTGCAACAGAGTCCAGGCCTGGGGTTGCTGCTCGACAAGCAATCGGTATCTGAAATGTTGGCTTTTGGGGCTGAACACAAAGGTCACGTGCTCTGTTTCTCTTCAATGCCTGCTCGAGCACAAGGCAGGTTTCTGGGGTGGCAGCATTCGAACTCTGAACTCCTGCAGTCGGAGAGCTTTGGGAGATTCCTTGGGTCCCGCTTCTGTGCAGTTTTCCTGAGAAAAGGACTAACTCTCCAGGGCCACTAATGAAGAAAGCAGGGGCTATCACATTCAAGATACCAATTAAAAAAAAAAAAGCTTTACCTCGGTGGACACATGCACCTCTCTAGGCTCCATTCTCTCACCATCCCAGCACAGTCTGGGTATCAGAGCTGGCCGGATACCAGCTCCAAGAGGAGGATGAAAGCAAGAGGAGGAGGGAAACCCGTACAAATTGAATCCGCTTCAGTCTGAACGATCAGCTGTCCCACCCCTGCAGGCAATAGAGTCATTTGCCTTTGTGGCTGTAGCAAAGAAGCCCAGCTTGCTCTGGCAGGCAGAAGAGCAGGCAGGAGGGGAAGTGAAAGCTATGGCAGAAAATGAATCAGGAGCATCAGCATTGGGGAAACCCGGTTACCATAGCAACAAGAGAGGAGGAAGGCAGGCAGGCATCTCTACAGGCCTGGGCACAGACCGGAGAGGAGAGGTCTTAAAGGTACAACTACAGCTGAAAGTAAAATAAAGTGGGGGGGGAGAAGGGGTATGCATTTGGTCCAAGACTGCAGAGAATAATTATAGCTACAGACAATAGAACTGTGCCTCTCTATTGTTTGAGTGAGACTTATACCACGCGAGGTCTCTGGATCAGTCCATGGGGTGTCCACCAAGGTGGTGGGTGTCAACATTGATCTTAAACTTACAATCAGAAGAAGAGTATAAACCAGTTTCATGACAGATTAGACAATTTGGCTAAGTGCAAACAGTCAAAAAGTCAGGGGCTGAATTGATTCAGTCTTCGCAAGTTATTCTAAGCTGCATAGACTGAACCGACAAGCAAGTGAACAGACATTCACTTTTGATTCTGGAAAGGCAGCCACAGGTCTGCTGTGGCCCAGGCCAGAAGCTGGGGGGTGCTAGAGCACGCCTCCCTACTCTGCTGGAGCAGACAGCTTGGGCTGAGGCTAGCCCACCCACTCTGCAAGGGGAGGAGAGGAGAGGGAGGGGGGTACAGGGAAGTGCAAAGCACCCTGAGACGCTGAGAGACTGTGAATTAACAGGTATCTGGAGGGGATCCGGGACAGAAATTCAATAAATCAATTTAACATATATCAGTTATAAGTCTGATACTACATGCATCCAGGCTTATCTTACACCCATTTCAGCTACTTTGAAAGTGGCTGATGTGCATTGAATCCCTGTTGTGTTACAGATTTGAACCAGTTTCCAATCACTTATCCTGGCTTATATGTAATTTCTGTCCCTAGCTCATGTAAAAGCGATAGCCAGATCATGGGTGTTCTGTCATGGAAAAGGCACCCATATCTTGGGTACACAAACAAGTATGTATTTGTAGGTGGGGCTGTCATTTATGCACTTGCAAAATGTAATAGCCCCTAAAAGTTAAGCAATTTGGGTGCACAGATCAAGGTGTGGGTCTCCCTCAAGACAGCTAAAAAAAAGACATGATCCAATTAGAGGCAGATCATGAACTGACACAAACTGTCTCTGAGCCATTGGTTCTCATAGAAGTGTGATAATTTACAGTGACTAAGAATCAGTCTCCCAGACAAAAACCCTGGTTTTTCCGAGAGTTCCCAAAAAGCAAATAATAAGAACTCAGAATCTCTCATTTTATAAAAACCCAGGGATTTAAAATCCCTTGCTTTTGGCAGCACTTACTTGTGATTTTGGTGGGCTTGCTGTCAGGGCTGTAAGACGTTTCAGTGGGACTCAAAGTTAACTTGGAGTCTTGAGGAAACTGCAGAAGAAAAAGAAAATGTTTTGAGCAGGTGAAAAGACCTGTTATTGGCCTTATTGGGAAGGCAAACGAGAACAGTTTAGTGCGGGATAATCCTGTCTTGAGCAGGAGGTTGGACTAGACAAGAGGACCTCATGAGGTCCCTTCCAGCCCGACTTCTGAATGACCTTGAATCCAACAAGTTGTATTTGTAGAGCCTGTGTTGGTAACACCAGCATTTCAGTTTACTGACTACCCAAGTTCTGTACCTATTGACATTGAAGCAGTTCAGAGATATTCCCTGGATTTTTAAAGACATTATACCAAGTGCAAAGATACTGCAACATAATGCTCCAGGACGCACCATGTCTTTGTAGCCAGTCCTCTGGGAACAGAATTAAATTACCACAGTGCACTCATTAAAGGATGAATTTGAGAACAGAGAGAAAATGAAGGTGATAACCCATATAGAAAGCAACACTGGGTGTGTCTACACATTCACTGATGCACTGTAGTTACTCAGCATTAAGTTGAGTCCTTGGATAACCAAGTACTAAATCAATGTACAGTAACTGGTGCTACTACGTAGTAGCACCGGCACATGGATTTTTTCAGACATGAACTGTGCAGTAACCTAATGCTACTATGCGGTAGCGTATTAGCACGGGTTTTGCCCAGCACACTACCGTGCAGTGTTATTAAGCTACTGTGCAGTTAGTGTTTTGTGTAGATGCACCTAATGTGCAGTACGTAAGGGCGGTTCTGGTGACTTTATGTACTGGAAAGATAGGACCTCCCATCAATGTGTAATCTGGCCAGCTGGTATGAGCAATCACCTGGGCTAAATTGGATGTGATGGCCAGATTTTGGCAGAGATTGCTTACTTCCTTTCTTAGACATTTTAAATAATACAGTATCTGAATATTGATCCAAAAAAAACAAAGGACAACTTTCCAGCCAATTACTTCAGACCAAGTTATTCCGCTGAGCAGAACCTTATTCTCTGAGGAGTTCTGTGGGGGTTGTTACTGGAGTAATGCACTGTTTGGAAGGAATAGGGATATCCGAATCTAACCCAAAGTTTCAAAGGGGCTTTGACATGCTGAGCTTGATGTGTAAAGAACGTATTACAGAAAAGAATAAAACACTTGGTTCCACAATCAGCTGCAAAGAGTTCAACAAAAAGACGGGACACTTGAAAGCAAAGTGCTCACACACGATCATCCATCTGATCTGAGCGGTTGCGATTATAAAATCGGATGTTTAAAAAAACCCAAAGCAGAACGCAAGGCAGGGTAGCACCTTAGAGACTAACTGGTTCAAAGATAGATGAGCTTTCATAGGCCACAATCTACTGCATCAGATGCTATGAAAGGACCTAATAAAGTTAAGCATCAAAAGGCCATTTCACCAAGCATTTGCCTGTAGATTCTTTGATACATAACTGGCCAGCTGACTCTGCTGTGGAGTCTGTATGCATATAAAATAGGCCCAAAATGAATATGTGCAATTTAAATACCAATCCCTAAATAACTCCTGACACTTACAATGGGAAAAATCACATCTGTTTGGCTCAGCATCTTTCATCCTACATTGAACTGAAAATCTCTACACTTCTTTTTACAAATATGTACAAATTTTTAAATGAGCATACAGATTTGCGTGTTTAAGAAGTTTTTTAAATCATTATAATACTTATTAAATGTATGGGACAGTCTATATACTACATACTGGGTGCATATACACATGCACCTGACAGTGCAGTTGCTACTGTGCATTCATTTTGTACTTGCCTTAGCAAGCACTTTAGCTTCAGCAAGCACTAAATGCACGTGTTTAACAAGCACTTTAGCTTTAGCAAGTACTAAATGACTGTGCAGTAGTTAAAGTTACTGTGCAGTCCCGGTGGTGCATGGGGGTTGTTTCCAACCCTACTGTGCAGTAGGAACGAGCTACTGTGCAGTAGCTTTTTGCTACTGCACAGTAGTGTTGCCATCATGGTTCATGCCCACCAATGCTACACCAACGTGGCATCTCGTGTAGATGTGCCCACTGTATATACTATATGGGACACAAATACTATATACAACAGTATTGTTTAGATGTTCAGTATATATCATTCTGCAAATTCTTATCAGAGGGATTATTGTGGTCACAGATTCTCCTAAATCCTTAGCACTGTCATCTATAACAGAGGTCTGAAGTACCATACCCATTGTAGTCTAGAGTAAAAATATTATATATAGTGTATTAAAACATGAATATGTGTTTTACTGAAACACCCATAAAACATGACATAATAGCATGCAAATAACTTATTCACATCATAGATCAGAATTGCTTGAATTCATATAATCTATGTAAAATAATGCAGTAAAAATACTCAAGAAAGAAGATAGAGCAAAGGAAAACAAAGGCTGTGAAGGTGTCTGGAGCATGACTTTGTTCTGAAGTTTGCCTAACGCTACAGGAAGGGCAAGTAGTCATTCCTCTAGAGCTGGTCTTTCTAACTGATGACACCCTAATTAATCAGCCTTCAGATTATTAGTAATTGCTCTCATGGATAACTAATCCCAGCATCTGAAAATGTAAATTTTCATCCAAGTCTTGTTCCTAACTTCACTGGAGGCTTCTGTTACATTAACTCCACTCTGCACCTGCACAGCAAAGGAGAGCAGACACTCAGTGTGAATGGAAGCCTGATAGTGTTGGCCATCCGGATACAGGTTTTTAGAAGTGTTCTGCTCCCTTTTAAGCACCCAAAAGAAATGGCCAGTTTTCAGAAGTGTTCAGTTCCCAGAAGCCTGCAGGGAGAATGATTTTATTCTGAAAGGTTGAATGCTTCATGATGGTGACTATGTGGATGGTGCTAGTTTTTCAGTGACTTTGAAAAGCAGGCCACATATGTGTCAGACCAGTGTTCAGGAGGAAAAAATTGGGCACTATTGGCTGCTTTCCGTAAGTCTGGCTCAGGAAGTTTTCCAACAGCAATTAGGTCCTGGCTTCCTACTCTCTGCTGTGGAGGGGGACACAGCTGGGGTGGGTATCTGATCCATTCCAGGTCCGTGGTCTGTCCCATGCATTCTGCTCTGACACATGTGCGTTACCAAGGGACAAACCCTTCCCTCCTCCCCTCCCTTTGAGGTTGTCAGAGATATTCACTTTAATCACCTGAGTTAGTCTCAGGGCTAGGGTCAGAAGTTGCACATAAACCGGTTTAAGTCATTGGAAACTGGTTTAAACCTGTAACAGAACAGACGTTCGGTGCACATAAACCAGTTTCAAAATGGGTGAAACCGGTTTAAGATCAACCCGACTGAATGTAGTGTCAGACTTAACTGATTTGGGTCAAATCGGTTTTTGGACCTTCTGTCCCAGACCCATTCCTGGTTCAAAAGTTAAATCACAGTCCCCCAGCATGCTTTCCAGCTCTGGGCTGTGCTGGGCTGTGCTGTCTGCTTCAGCAGAGAAGGGTTGCGGGGGGAGGGGGCAGGGACTGCCTCCACCCAGGCAAACCCCAGCTGAGGTCTGGGGCCAGGGAAAGGGGTTCAACTTGCCATCCCTTGAGTACAGAGCTGCCCTGCCCTGCTAAAAACGTATTGCTGGCTGCAACTGTGGACTACAAATCTCAGAGGCACCTGGAAACAGGAAGAAGAAGTGATGAGCAACCCTGCAGAGTCTGGCTGCTGTGAGTTTGGACTGCAAATTGCAGAGACCTTGAGGGAAGCAGAAAGATAAAGTGAACACACAACCCATGCTGGCTATGTGCCAGAGAGTTGTGGTCTAGTGCCCCCTGGCTTCTGGCCTAAGCCACTACAGGTATGTGGCTGCATTTCCTGAATCAAAAGTGAATGTCTGTCCAGTTGTTTCTCTATAGTTTAGACTAAAGTGCAAAGACTGAACTGATTCAGCCTCGGGCTTTTTGACTGTTTGTACTTAGCCAGGAAGTTCAGAAACAACTGTGTAATGTCTAACTCCTTTGGGATGATGGACGTGTTGGCACACTCGGTCAGTACTTACTCTGCCCATCTTCACTGTAATGAATAGATGACACCTGTCATCTGTTCATCTATAATGAACTCCCTCTGTCCCTCTTCATCTTATACTTGTGAATCCCTTTTCCAGCCCAATATATAGCTTTGGTGGGTCTTCGGTTCATTTTTAGACTGGTGAGATATGAATCTGGATTTTCACCGCTGAAGATATTTTGACCTAGCTCAAGCACACAAAAGATAAAAGACCCAGTCTAGAGGAAGGCTAGGAAGTACCATAAACTATGCACAGATTTTCAGTTTCCTCTTCTACTACTATTATTTTGCACTGCAATAGTACCCAGAAGACTCATCCATGTTTCTTAATCATAGGCACATCCAGACAAATGCACACTTACGTTTCCCTGGGGACAAATTGCAGCAGCACATAGCTGACAAATAGCAGCGGCACATGGATGGGTGCATCCAGATGAGCACGTACATGCACTTTGCATCACCACAAAGCCTTCTGAGGTGCTGCAAAACACGTGTGGCACAATTAAAAAGTTCTCCATGCTGGATATTTGCAGCGCAGAGCCAAAATAAAATACTGGGAAATCCCAGGATCTTAAAAAAATGGTTAAAAAAAAAAAAAGCAGGGTGGTGCACGTGGCTGCAGCATCCGCCACCCAAAACTGGAGCTGGCCAGCTAAAGCTGCACTCCGGCTGCTGGCCAGGCTCCGCATGCATGGATCACTGCTGCTACAGTCCCAGGTGCTAGCCCTAGCCTCCCCTATACCCTACCTGGGGCAATTTGCCTCGGGGCATTCCCCAGGGACAAGTAGCAGCTGCACAACTAAATGCCACTGCTATTTGTCCCCAGGGAAATGCACATGCACGCTCATCTGGACACACTCCATATTGTGTACTACACAGACATATAAAAAGAGGCAGTCCCTGTCCAGAGAAGGGCAAAATGTAGAAACATTTAAAATATAGAAGAGGTAGAAGGAGACAGTGGGGAAAAACTAACCTGCCCAAGGACACATCAAAGTTCAGCAGCAAAGCTTAGAATAACCTAGGCATTTCTTGAATCCCAGTCAAATGCCCTATTCATATGATTATAAGGTTTCTCACAGTAACAAAGAGGCTTCCACTAAGTTTATCTTCCTCCTTCAGAAGGGACAGTTATTTTATCGCAGCTCCCAGCCCAGATCCAGAGCTGGTGTAAAGCGGCACCACTTATTCAGATTCATGCTGTTGTTGCCCACATTAGTAAGGGCTCTGGCTAAAAGCATTTACAGAATCAGGCCCCAAGACAATAAAATTACCTTTTTTATCTTTAAAACTTGCTTTCCCAATAAAAAGGCCAGCATATTGCATGCAGATTTAGAAACTGTAATCTCTTTATTTATTCGCTAAAGCCCCTGCTAATGCAAACCCGGCATTCATTTATGTTCCTCAGCGGCAGTAGTTTTAACAATGGTTTATGTAAGTTCAGGGTTTTTTTCCTCCCCCAGACTGAGGTGGCAAATCATTGTGTGATGCAAGTACACACACAATGCTGCTTTAACAGCTAGTCCTTCAGCAAATCAGGACACCGGCTCTCTCCGCAGGCTGTAAACCTTTTCATTTTATTGCATCAGCTCTGTAACCATAAATCCAAGTGTCTGAGTGATCCATAATAGGGAGTTTTCACGTTCTTCCCGAGTGTCATTTGATTCGATGGAGCATGATTTAATTATTCAGGTAAAGCAGCAATGCAGGCACAGTAGTGATTCAGCACTACCTGCGGCAGAGGGATTGCATTCCCTCTTGGGGCAGACTTGTGCACTCACTCACCAAATTTTCCAGTTAAAAGATTTCAGTTAAAAGATCCCAAGCCCTGCTTAGTGTGCCAAAATGAGGTCAGAGGAGCCTCCAGGGAGCCGTTTATGACCTGCCGCTGTTCCTCATGTTTGTGGAGAGCTAGCAGAGCAAGCCACAGCCCCTTACTCACCTCCTCCCCAAACTCAGCACAACTCTTTCATTCAATTAGGGCAGCTGGACAGGATGCCTCTCGCTCAACCCCCTTGGGGAGTGCCACTCCACCAAGGCAATTCTCTGCTGTCAAGTTACAGCCTGAGTCGAGCCTCATCGCTGCAGAGGGCATGCAGCATGATGCAGTCTTGCCTGGAAGTCAAGTTACCTGCAGAAATGAAGTGGAAATTCCCAAGAGGGGTTTCACGTCAACATGTGCAGGGCTGCCTAGTTTCCAGGAGTCGACCAAAGGGCTGTGCAAATGAAAACAAGAGCAATCACGCTAGGATAAGCCACCACATACACTGCTGGATAGCGATCAGGCTGTGCAAGCAGGCAGAAGGCAGGTTCTGTTCTTCCTTAATAGCCTACAGCAACAATGCAGTCTGTTCCCATCTGTTGGTATTTCAGTGGACGCTGGCCTCAATCCATTCAACTGTGCTTAGAGCTGAGGGAAGGATTTGGGCAGTAACTGGCTGCCTTTGAATCTGCCAAGCAAAATCTGGCATGCACCAGGAGAAGTTGCGCAGATGCTTGAGTTGTGACCTTGGATCACCCGTATAGCTATGCTGTCCTGTTCACTTGCAACAACCATGTTCTTGCGACCCATCTACAACAGCGCAAGCTGCAAAGCCAGGCCCAGACCTCCACGCAAGGAGGCCCCCAGGCATGTCGAGATGAATTTGAATTCAGGCTACTAGGAGGAATCAAACGCAAAGTTCTCCCATAATTTGTACTGTGTTCATTCAAAGCTTGTGTGATGCGAGTAGGAGTGTGCAGGACAGACTCAGGAATCCTGTCTCTTCTGTTTTTCAGCTGACTATGGAACCAAGCAAGGATCTAATTGAGGGCAGCTGATCAGACATCTAACACTGAGGGTGTGGTTGCCAGGAGGTTTGGGTTCAGGGCTCGATCAGCCATGGACTCACTCTGCAGTAATGATCAAGTTACTTTCCCCATCTGTAAAATGGGAACAACACTGATGTACTCACGTGGCTGTTGTGACCAAAGTGCCCGATGTATGCTAAATCAGTAATGTTGTTAGCCTTTCTTGTAAGTACAGCACAGTAGAACCCAACCCTCCACAGGGTTAGATTTTGCCAAGATGATATAGAAAACTCTGCTGTTCTTATACATCCAAAAACAGCCCGGTTTTGCATTTGAGAATGCAATATATTTGAGATCCAAAGATAATTCATATGGCGCAGAAAAGCATTTCTATAATCACACAGGTTGCTGACACTGAACCTCCAAATAAAGTCAGTCACTTTGAGTGTGGGAAAATTGGCTTTTCTTCAAAATAAGAGTAAGTCCCCATCCACATGCCTTCGTTACTCTTTCTTTTAGGTGGAGGCCATTTATAGATACACATAATTAAATGCACCTGCCCAAAGTGTAGAGTACATAGGAGGATAATAGGTCTCTCCAGAAAAAATGCCAGAATTCACTATAATTGATCTATCTGTGGAATTTCTAAGGCACATAACTCCTTAGTATACGAGTGCCTTTTATCTTGATAATTAAGTTGTCCCAGGCATCCTACATACTCCTACGGACTTCTATTCGAGCCAGTCATGGTTACAAAAGGCAGGTGAAAATGGACACTATTCAGGTGTAAATCAGGATGGAATGGAGACAATAGGTCAAATCTGAGACCTTAGTTCAAATCTAGGGAAAATGTCCTTCATACAATGTATGACACAACCTTCAACTGCTAATAGTCTAGACAGATTCAGGTTTAAATGTTCAGAATCCCCAGATTATATTTTAAGAAGATCATATGGTGTTTGCGATCTGCCAAAGAATTTTTCTTATTCTGCCTTTGCTTCAGCATTTTATAAAAAAAACAACCCAGCACTTTATAGTGAGGTAGAGGCTATATGTTAATACATTCTACTAGGGACAAATTTTAAGCAGTGGAGGGTTAATTGGTTAATGAGAAGGTCATGATTCACAATAGGCACATCTACACATGCCAATTTAAGGCACATTAGTCATTTTAAGGCGCGTTAAGGGTGGGGTCTATACGTGTGCACTCTTAATGCTCCTTAAAAATGTCAATTTTAGGCTATTCGCACCTAAATTTGATACCTACAAAAGCAGGTATCAAATTTAGGCACAAATAACTAAAGTGCCTTAATGCACATGTAGATGCACTATAGCGCATTAACACTGTGTATGTTGACTGACTTGGGACTAACTTGACTCCCGAGTCGCTCCGCACACCGTATTATTGCGCCTTAGCGTGTGAGCGTGTAGACGTGCCTAAATCGCCTTAATGTGCATTAGACAAATGCACATTAAGTTTAGGCTCTCGTTAAAGCATGTGTAGACACACCCAATGGGTCGTAGAAAGCATGTTTTCACCACACCAGTGAGTGCCTCCCAGTGCAGCCAAACAGACTGCAAGATGCTCACCACAGGAACAGGTATAAACCTGACCTTGAAGGTATGATGATAGCTCTCTGCCTTTCTTCCTCCATTCATCTATACAGGATTGCTGTAGAATTACATTTTCTCCTGGTCTAGCAAACGTAGCAAGCCATGTTTTATTTGCAGATCAAGTCAGATGGGCTACTTATTAATTTCCCCAAAGGAAATTCTGCTCTGTCTTCATGGCCAGGGTGACAATTATCTGTGTGCGCAAAAAATATATATTATTTCCATTTGGTAAGATTTATGCCTTGTGTTAAATGGGATAACACAGCATAATTCTTAGATCTGGCCTTGTTTATGACCATGGATGTCATTAACTACTAACTAATGTGTCACTGTGAGCCAAAAGGGCATGAGGCCAGGAAGTTCATCTTATTTTATCTTGCAAGCAATACTCAAGCCACAGTTCATTAAGCACAGAAACTACTGGTAATTAGAAGGAACTAGGAGTCTACCTCTGATGGTAGGTCCTTTGCTGAGCTGAGATCCGCGGGACTGACCTGGCATAGTCTCAGAGGAGCTGGATTGGTGCAATTTGAACAGGCAAGAGTTGCTGAGAGACTGACTGCAGTAGAAACAGCTTACTGGAGCTGCAAAGTTATTGTATAGCACACATCCTGCACACATCAGCCTGACTGCACCTGTGGAAGCTTTTGTAAGGAGTGAGCATGAATAAGGCAGAACATCCCACCACTAATAGATATATTTTCTAGTGATGAGGTTTCCTGTTTTCCAGGCTGCGATGTGACAATTGAAAGGAACTGTGCAACGTGCAGCAATCTTGGTGACTCTTTTAACCACTTACAGTCCGAGTAAAAATATCAAACTGAGGCAAAGACACCATCATAAGACTTCTAGAGATGATCAGGCTTTCTAAGCACCTGAGACCAAGGAAACAACATAGAAGCTGGGGGATAAGGGGTGAAAAATGAAATATTCTCCAAATGAACCCATAACCACAACGGTCATTCCAGAGTTGGACTTATTCAAGGAGTATGGATCCTATCAAACATGATGATGAGCTTCATTTCTGCCTTTATAGGTTTTAAGTAGGCTCACATTCCTGGTAATATGAATGAGCTAACATCAGAGCAATGTTTTCCCTCTTTTATTAATGGGTAAAATGTGTGTATTTTTGTGCATGTGGGTATTTTCCTTACCCCAAAACAAAATGTCATGGATAGTGTGGTCCAATGTCTTGAACAAAAGGTGGGGATCCATAGCTCTTGGATGTGTCACACAGACTCTTGATGTGCCCTTGGGTAACTCATTTAATCTCTGTACATCTCATTTTTCCCAGTGTAGTGAAACATTGATTACTCCTAGGGCAAGATTTGCAGGAAATCTTGTCACCCATAACCAAAACAAGACAGTTTCCACAACACGGTACAGATAATTAATTAGAGTTCAGCGCTCTCAAGGGATCCTTGTAAGTAATTGGTACAGAAAGGCATTTGCAAGGAGTGAAAGCTTATTTTGTT